TTGCCGACCATCTATCTTCACTCCCATTCCTTCCCATTCCAGTCATTGCATGACATTCTTGAGGGTGGCACTGAAGAGTTTCAGTGAAATGGTATCTCCCTGCAGAACCCCTCTCTTGACATGGCTGACTACTTCTTTGTAGAATGGTGAGATCCTGGTAGTGAATCCATAATACAGCTCATGGAGGTTCCTGATGTATTGAGTTTGAACGCCCCGTTTGGCTAGGGCTTTGGTGACTGCTTCCGTCTCTACCGAATCCACTACCTCCACTACCTCCACTACCTAGCCATCGCCATGCTCCAGGACGCTTTTCAGACACTCAGGCTGAGACTCACTCACGAGTGAAGCCCCAAAAGAACCAGGTAAGCGAAAATGTGTGACTTTGGACTCCAGGCTCAACGAACCCAGGAACAGAGATCCACTGCCTGCTCCCACCAATTTCCGGAGACCAAGGGATTAAAACCAGGAGCTCCACCTTACCCTTCCCTGTCTGCTTCCACCAACCTCCGGGACCCAGGGATTACACACAGAAGACCCACCCTACTGGTACCAGATAAATACCTCACTGGCAGACCTCCACTATCCCTACTACCTCCACTACTTCTACTACCTCCACTACCCAGTTGCTACCATGCTCCAGGATGCTTTCCGGACTGCACGGTCACTTTGCAACACATCATAAGACACTTAATACCGATCTTCCAAGATTACCACACCATATTTCATAGGATTCAAATATGGTTTGAGCTATGGGAACACCTGCAAGGGTCATTAGAGGTCGCCCTAAAATTCTCTATCCCTCTCGGAGAGCCTGGCAAGCTACCGAAAATATCCCGCCTGCACAGCAGAGCCTGACAAGCTATCTGTGGCTTATTCAATATGCCAAAACTAGTAAATACAATAGGTCTCATTCCCCTGTCCCTTAAAGAGCCACGAATATGCCATCGTTAAGAAGGATGAGGAAGGAGAGGCCGATAAAATCTCAAGGCTGAACTATGCTGCCAAAATGAAGAAAGAAAAAAATGACTGTCTGTACTCTCAATGCACATACACTGGGGTAAGACGCATCCAATGAGGACCTGATGGTACAAGCGTGAAAGATCAAGTACGACATCATTGATCTGACTGAGACGAGAAGGCATCAATCACATCACACCATTTTCGACACTGGAGAAGGAAACATGTTCTTCAGAACATGCGACAAAAGAGGCGTCGGTGGTGGTCGGTGGTGTCGTTGTCCTTGTCAACATGAACTTGACCATGACCATTGATTCATTCGAATGCCTAACAATCTGAATCAGATGATTATACTTGAATAGATGTGATTCACTGCTGGCAGTTTTTATCTTTGTTGTCTATGCACCAACATCCAATTATGATAAAGGAGAAATCGAGAAGTTCCACATGGAGCTGGAAAAGTTCTATAAAGAAGACCACACCTTCTACAAGATCATCGTCGGTGATTTTAATGCCAACATAGGACCGAGAAGATCAGCCAAAGAACTCTACATCGGGACCCATGGCCTAGAATGGAATGAACAGGGTGAGAGACTGTCTGAGTTCATCATGTCGACCAAGATCATCCACGATAACTCACAGTTCCAGAAGGCCAAATCTAAACATTGGACATGGGAGTCTCCCGGTGAGTGGTTCCACAACAAAAATGACCACATCATATTCAATTGATGGTTTTGCCTGACCGATGTCGCTGTTGTCCCAAAATTCCAAACGAGATTTATTTATTTATTTATTCATTTATCTTTTTTGGGTCACACCTAGTGATGCACATGGGGTCACTCCTGGCTCTGCACTCAGGAATTACTCCCGGCAGTGCTCAGGGTACCATATGGGATGCTGGGAATCAAACCTGGTTCAGCCGTATGCAAGGCAAACGCCCTACCTGCTGTGCTATCGCTCCAGCCCCAAAACACTGTTTTAAAAGAATAGAGTTTGTCTCACCCATGAGTAAATCCGCAGAAAACCCAGGTATGCAGGAGGGACCTGTGACTGAAAACACTGGGTTCAAAGGAACTGGGAACGGGTGTCATCCCCCCTGACCTGCCCCTCCCCCTGTCATGCCCTGTTTCCCACAACTTGGCAGTCAGACCCATAACCAACTCTGGCTGGTGCCAGATTATCTCATCAATAGCTATGTACCAGAGACTCATTGTCCTCTCCCAAAAGAAAGCACAAAATGACACATGCCATAGCCATGCCACCGGATCCTGCTCCAGACTGTTTCATTCAGAGCACCCCGGAGAGATCGAGTGAGGTCCTTCATGGCTCCAAGGGACCCACGCTCCAGCAGCCGGAAACCTCCAGAACTCAATTGCCACCATGCTCACACTCAGGTCAGGCCTCACCCACAGGGGAATTTTCTCCTGAAAAGATATCATTCCTCACATCACTAATATTCCAAGAGTAGCACAACATATCTGGTGGAGTTTAAAGTAGAAGACAACAAATCTTAGAAGGAAACATATTTTTACAGATAAATATGTATATATTATATAAATATACATATATATAATATGTAAGTACACAAGGCTCAACCTTCGACAACATGTTAGTAATCTCTCTTATCGGGCCTTAATTAGCCCAGGATGAAATATGACAATCTTCACAGACTTTTCTCTAAGGAAAGTTTTTTGGGTCACTTTCAGCAGTTTATTCATAACAAACGATACAAAATGAATTATTTAGGTTCTGCTTTGTGGCAGGGGTTGAGGCTCGGGTTGGAAACATCCCAAAAGTGGTGGTAGGAAGGTGTTGTGGTGATGGGATTGGTGTTTATGTTAAATATAATCAAATATTGTGAACTACTTTATAAAAATTAAAAAATCTCAAAAAAAAGTATAGAATTCATCATTGACTAGCCATTTTAGATTGTATAAGTTGTGATCTGTACAACAGTTCTGAACCAGGAGGTGAGGTTAAATGCTGCCCTCGCTGTTTGGAGGCAATGCCCAGAGGGATGTGTTTTTTTTTTTAATTTTTGCAAAGGCACCATAAAAAAAAACAGTCATTTTGGTTATATAAGCATTTATTTATTTTTTGTTTATTTCCTGAATCACCGTGAGAACAATCACAAAGCCTTTTAGTTCAAGTCTCAGTCGGTCATACAATGATCAAAGACCCGTCCCTTCACCAGTGCACATTTTCCACCACCAAGAACCCCAGAATATGCCCCTCCCACCCTCACCTCCAGTGTGGCAGATTTCCACTTTACTATCTCTCCTACGTTGATCACATTCAATATTACGACAAAAGATCCAACATTATTATTTGGAATTTTCCCCAAAATTCAGACCTGCCAAAAAGACATCATTAGATAATTTGTTTTCTATTGCTGATTATAAAGAGCATATGATGTGTGGCCACAATAGCAGCCATGCTAATTTAGATTTCTAATCTTTTAGTAATAAACCTAGAAGGATTACTGCCAAAAGTCCCTAGGTTCCAAGATTGGTTTGTGTGCCTCTGGGATCATGGTCATTCAGACGCTGGAGGAGGCTTTGAGGGTGGCAACCTGGAGCATTGTAGTGGCAGGGAGCAGGGAAGATTCCACCCCCCATCCCACGAGGCCCCACATGCCTCGTCAATGCAGTCTCATACCTGGCTGTTCATTAGTCTCTAAAAGATGCAGACCACTGTGCTGCTGCCACAAGGGGGGACAGGTGGAGGGACAGACACTCCTCCCCTCTCAGGGTGGCATTTAACTGTGCATAACCATAGTTAAATGCACAGTCCAGATGCATTTCGGTTGGGCATTATATTTTGCTCAGTTTTTCCCACCACCATTCAAGCCTGTTTTTCAGGGACAAATGCTAGATCATTTACTTTCCATTGATCACTTTGCATATCAGGAAATGTTTGAAAAATAGTCCTGGTGCCCGTGTACCAGAGCCATGTTTGTAGAAGCTCATGGTCACTGGGATTACATTGGGAGAAGGCGGGGAGACAGCATCTACCCCATCTGGGACCTCCCGGTGATATTGGCTCAGTACGGGGCCCAGAGAATTCTCTGGGAGTTGTGGAGCCCACCAGCCGGTTTTCTTTGCTACTGTGTGCTGTAAGATAGTGCTGGGGCAGATGTGACTTGCGGAATCAGAGGTTGCCTGGGAACCGGGGTGGTCCCCACACTGTTCGGAAAATAGTTTTGTTGCCCACGTACCAGAGCCATGTTTATAGAAGATCATGGTCACCAGGATTCCATCGGGAGAAGGCAGGGAGACAGCACCTACCCAACTGGGACCTCCTGGTGATATGGGTTTAGTATGGAGCCTGGAGAATTCTCCAGGAGTTGTGGGGCCCACCAGCCAGTTTTCTTCGCTCCTGTGTGCTGTTTATATAAATATATATACATATATACATGCACTGAGTAAACAGATGAGCTAAGTATCATATAGTCAAATAGACTGTGAAAATAATATCAAATAACTTTTTCATTTTCTTTCACATTATCCCTGTGGAAGTTCATTTTTTAATTTATTACTTTAAAAAATCAACTTAATAATAAGGCCTAAAATTTAAAGTTGAAATGACATCAATAGCAAAATTGATCAACCAATTTTATTTCTATTATATAAATAACTAAAGATAGGGGCATTACCAAATTCTTTTCCCTCAAAGACAAAATAATTAAGGGTGAAGTAAGATTAAAGACATAAAATTATTTTAAGCACCACAATGACTAATACCATACAAGTTATGTTATTGGTATTCATCTCCCATCCCACTGACTTAAGAAGAATCTGAGAACATATCCTGACAGAATATATTTTCAATAGGACAAGGAATCATTCTGCTTATTGAACATTTTTAAATATTTTATTCAAATATAGTCTACCAAAATATAATAACATACAAGATACTTGACTTGCAATATGAAGAACAGAAAAATATTAAAGAAACCAGTCCCCACCTTCCATGGACTTAAATATAAGTAGAAATATATTTTAGTTATTTAATAAAGAACTAAGGTGATGTCTTCTAGGGTGATGTGTGGTGCAGTGGGAATGAATGGGAAGAAAGAATGGATGGCCCTGGTTGTGTCAAGGAAAGGATGGAAACTTGAGAATTGGGACTTGAAGATGAGAGTAAAGGAAGATTAACTTCCAAAACTCCAGTGATTGCCAGTCACACTTTCAGAAAATTATGGTATTTTTGCATGATACACTGTGATAACTATGATAACTTGAGGATGATGATTCCTGCTGTGACAACTCTCACCACAAGTGGGTAACACAGGGATGAAGAGAACTAGGACATGGTATATCTGTCAAACCAGGATGTCATGAAAATTCTGTAAATTAGTGCAGTTCTCAGCCCTTAAGACAGATTATTAAGCCCTTAAACTGCACTAGTTTAAGAATGACGGTGGGCTGAGAAGATAATTCAAACTGTTGGAGCATATGATTTCCTTACACAAGGTCCTGAATATGACCAATGGCACCACATGCCCATCCCCACCATAGATGGGCCTTCAACATCACTAAACCTGAGCACCAAATTGTCAGGCCCACACTGCAAGGCTGAGAATTGCTGGCAGTGACTCCTGGGATTCCCAAGCCACTGCTACTCATCTCCCACTGCAAAAGACAATGAAATATAGTCTTGGTTCAAATCAGAATTCCTAAGAGAACGGTATGAACATAGGTATGTTTTAGAAATTCTCAATTAAGTCTAATGTGAAACAGGTTGAGAGTCACTGCTGACAGTATGTCTTCTATCAGAATGAAATTGACTTAGTCACAGAGGAATTTTCAAAATTAACAGCAACAACAGAATAATAATAACAAAAACTTGTAAATAGTTAAGTATTAAAGTGTCTACTTCTATTTATATTTATGAAGAAATAAATAACAAGATCCAGAATTACCCTCCCACTGTAAATGATGAAAAACTAAAGAAAACATAGGAAATACTATTTTCAGACACTGTGCAGTGGAGGACTGTGATTTTAAACAGTAGTATAAAATGTAAGGTGAGTCCTATCATTATCCAGGCATTTAGTCAAGAGAGGTCTCCAGACAGGACAGGGACGGGGAAAACAGAGACAGAGAACCTTGCTGAATGCAGGATTCACAGACTATAGACAGGGATAAACAAGGCAGCTAGAATTTGCTGACAGGAAAATGATAAGCTGAGAAAGAATTCCAAATTTCTGTAGTAGGGATACCCTCAAGTCACTTCAAATTCAAATCTGTGCTTGCAAGGTTGAAAGTCCAAGAAACTAGACAAGAAACTTCCAAGAAAGAACATTATTATCACCCATTTTTATTCAGCATCATATTGGTGGTCCTAGCCAACATAATTGGGAAGAAAGAAGGAAGGAAGGAAGGAAGGAAGGAAGGAAGGAAGGAAGGAAGGAAGGAAGGAAGGAAGGAAGGAGGGAGGGAGGGAGGGAGGGAAAAATAGGGAAGGGCAGAGAAGGAGAAGAGGAAGAAAGGGAAAAATAGACAACAGGAATGTTTGAATGAAATAAAATTCTTAAAATTTAATCTCTCTAATTATTTAATGTCCAATATTTTCTCAAATTTAAATGACATGTAACATCCAGCTTTTCAATAGCCCACTTGTTAGGGAAGTAGGGAAATATCTTCTAGTGTCCAAAGATGGCTTATGTTGATACATAGGAATATGATTTTTAAAATATCAGTAAGAAGAGGCAAACTCTAATTTTTATGTGTGAAGGAATATATCTAATAAGAAAGTAGTTTGTTGGAAATGTCTAATAGAGTTTTAAGTGATTAAAAAATAAACTACCTTGTCCCTTAAGTCTAATAGATCTTTAGTATCCTAAAACACTCTAGAATATGTCACTGCTAATTTTTTATTTCTACATAAAAATAGCAATTATTTTCTGTTATCTGAAAATTTACATTTCTGATTACCAAAGTTAATTCTGAGAGCATGTACTTTGTGAATTATCTTTGTCTATAACTGAGAGTTGTTTATATTAAAATAAAATTGCATTAAAATTTAAAAATAGGTATTTTGGATAGAGACTTGTCTGTAGTAAATAATGTGATCATAGGTATGACTGCTAATTTTTGTTTACTATATCTTAAAGTATATGACTATTTTTCCATTGGGAATACACATTTTTCTTAATGTTCCAAGGTCTCTACTTTGTAAGGTCTAAAAGATTTCTCATGAGCCGTAGCTTCATTCTGTATGAAAGGTTTGAAAATTGTCATGATACCTTTAAGAAGCTAGAATATTTTATTCACTTCATCAGATTTAGTGTATATTGTTTTGTTATGTTATACTGAAACACATTAATTTTACTTTTGTAAAAATTAGTAAATGATTGACATTTTTTTCTTGTACCAACCATGTTTGTACTTATATTTTTCTGTAATGTTTAAGCATGAAGTTGAAGAAATTCACATGTTCATATAGTTTGGATAGAAAGAATAATGATTATTTCAGAAGCAGATTATTTCAGAGGCTTAATGTTTCTCTGTATTAGCTGGTATTTTATAACTTTTATGAATCAGAATATTGTCCTTCGTAAAGCTGTTTAATTGAAGTCAACTACTTGTAACAGGACAGATATACAACTATTTGAGGTTTACAAACTACATCTTTGATAAGGGAAACTTGTTTCATGACATGTATACAATTGCTATTAAAATGTAACTATATATTCTATTTGACTGTAAATATTTTATACAACAATACAAATAAAATATTTTTCTATTATATTTATTATGTTGAAACACAGCAGTTGTCTCCTGTTAGCTAATATAAATAACATAAATAACACAGTCAAACAACAGGTTGGAAGTGCTGGCGATTCTAGTCTTCAAGATTCAACTCATGCTGCAATTATACCCTTTCATGCGATTTGGAGTTATCTCAATATTTTTTCAGTAGATTAAAATGAATGCATATTTAAACACCATCGATAAGTCATTATTTTGTATTTTGCTAAAGCGATTTATATCATTGTTTTGTTATGTTTGGCAAAACGGAAAAATAAAAACATTGCAGCATCTAGGCAATAAAAAATCAAAAGGAGAACTTAGAATATCTCATCAGTGAAAGTAGGAAAGGTAGGGCATAGAAACACTGAAACAGCTCTGAATGAAATGTGGAAAGTGGCAGTTTGCTTTTGGTGGTAGCGGCATGTGCATGCTTTAATGAAAACATCTGGTGATGATGAAAATGGCTAACAAAGTTTTCTCTCCTTGACACAAAGGAACTGACTCCCTCCAATTATGTTATTTGTGGTATATCCCCTCATTCAAATTCCTTCTCATTTTTAATTATAGTTGTCATACTTTCTCAAAAACAATACTTCCATTAAAGTGCTTCAGTTTTCCATATGTTGAAACCACATAGCAAGATTAGCAGAGGAAAATCAACTTAAGTTTTTCTTGGGTTAAGGTAATCACAAACATTTCTTAAACCTCAAATAGTTTTGGCCACGTCTTGCTTGCTGATGAGGACCTCTAAAAGTCTCAGTTTGGCCTTTATGTGCTTGTATTCATAGTACTCATCTGCCATTGGTATTCTATCTTCCTTTTGTGGACTTCTGCAAAGCAGAAAATCGTGTATTAGTTAACAATAAAAACAATTAAAAATCATTTTAAAATTCTTGCATGAGAAAATACTGGATAGCAGTTTCCACTTAATGTTTGCATCTTATCTTCCCTTCATCTTTACTTACTCCCATCGCCTTTAAAAAGTTTATTGTCATAGATGTTTTATAGCAATGTGATCTGAAAGTGTATGGGTATATATGTATATACTGGAGGTCAAGTAAAATGATGGGAGTGTGGGTTAGGGAACACCCCCAACACATTCTAGACACTGTCTTATTTTTTGCATATGTATAATGTTTTGCATTTATACAAGTCAGCCTAAAACTCTTAAAATATCAAATCACTTATAAATTTATGATTATTGTTAGAACAATCATAAATGACTACCTCACAATATGAAATATTTTCAAATTTTCTTGTAATTGTAACACAAGTACCTGCTAATGTGCAGTGGAATCACTGAGAAGTTCTTTGAAGTAATTTGTGAATCTAAATTGCAATGCCCTTTTTGCATTTTAATTTTACTAGGAGTATACATAAAATACAGATCCCGGAACCGCGCGGCCGCATTTGCGGCCGCGCGACATCTTGACAGAACTTTTTTTTATGACATCTTATTGTCTTATTCCTACTTTGCACAAACTTGCAGGCTATCGAATGTAGCCTGCCCACAGGGCAGAGTCTGGCAAACTCCCCGTGGCGTACCAAATATGCCAAATACCAGTAACAATGATGGGTCTCATTCTCCTAAAGAGCCTTGAATATAATCTCAGGGCTAGGATGAAAGAGACGTTACTGGGGCCTGCTCGAGGCAATCGACGAATAACAGGATGATGAAATGAAAAATGAAATGAAAATTTAATCATGATCCACAAAACCACTAAGGAATTTATTAAAATTTAATACCTATAAGCAACTTGAGAAAGGTCTTAAGATGCAAAGTCAATATACAAAAAGAATTGTGTTTCTACCGACCCATGAACAAACAAATGGAAATTTTAAGGTTCATTTGTTATTAGGGTACAAAATAAAATAAGAATAAATTGTACAAAATATATGCAAAGCTATACTGTGAAAACTACAGAAGTCTATTGGGAGAGCATTGAAGAGGCTGAAATAAGTGAAAATATTGATCATGTTTTTGAATTGGATGATTCAATACTGTTAAAATTTTCATTCTGTACAAATTGATTTACAGAGATTTAATGCAAACCCAATGGAAATCCCAGCAGGTTTGTTTTGTTTGGTTGTAAGTTCGATTTTGCAATTATCTTAGAAATTAAGGGGTTTAGAATAGCCTAACAATTCAAAGTGAATTATACTTCCTGAATTTCGGACTCTACATAAAGCTACAGTGATCAAGAGACTGTGGTATTGACTGTAGAGTAGATTTGCAGAGTAATGCAACAGAATAGAGAATTCAAAAACAGATCCACATATATATGGTTAATTGATTTTCAATTAAATTTTAAATTCCAGTTTAATTGAAAAGGGAAAGGAAAATATTTTTAAATGAAAGTTGCCAGAGGAAATAAACCAAGACC